TGAAATTCTTGTGTGCGAGCTTCACAAGCAACAGAGTTGTGCAAAATACAAGAATGGCTACATCTGAAACTAATAAATATATGTACAATATATAATAGTATATGCATTTCTGGATGTGTATATTTTCTACGTGTGTGTGTGTGTGTGTGTGTGTGTGTGTGTGTGTGTGTGTGTGTGTGTGTGTGTGTGTGTGTACACATATTTTACAAATTAAATAGAGTAAACAATAAATAAAATATATAAAAATATACAGAGTTGAGACATGTGCAAAACAGTGGCATTACTGTACAGTATGGAGTGCATAATGTTAAAGTTCCAGTAGTGAAGCTGAGGTGTCTATGACGTGTTCTTGCGACCCTGTTGACTATTTTGAATGAAACGCTTGATTGTTCGATGATCACGCTTCAGAAGCTTTGCAATGTTGAGACTGCTGCATCCCTCTGCAAGATATCTCACTATTTTTGACTTTTCTGAGCCTGTCAAGTCCTTCTTTTGACCCATTTTGCCAAAGGAAAGGACGTTGCCTAATAATTATGCACACCTGATATAGGGTGTTGATGTCATTAGACCACACCCCTTCTCATTACAGAGATGCACATCACCTAATATGCTTAATTGGTAGTAGGCTTTCGAGCCTATACAGCTTGGAGTAAGACAACATGCATGAAGAGGATGATGTGGACAAAATACTCATTTGCCTAATAATTCTGCACTCCCTGTAGAAGAGGGGGCCTGAAAACTGAAGGCTCTCCCTCCATCCCCTCCCAGCTTCACATCAAACTAATGAAAAACTATTGGTAGTTCTGAGAGAAAACTAATTTACCTTCATTTTAGCTTCAGTGTTGTTGTAAAGAATTTATTATAAACTAGGCAGACATGTAAGTGTTTGCAAAATGTTGCACATTTTTCTTATTTTTGAATGTGCTTCAGCACTTTCAGTTCGAAATATAGTAATGGGTTATAAAGTATGAACCAGATAAGATCTTTTCTACTGACACTGAGTGTAATCCAGTGTGTATTCTACTTGGAATGGCGAATGACAAAATCAGAGGGAAGTTTGGAAAGCAGCTCTACAGGCTTTTAATGTTCTATGTAAGGAAGTGTGTCCTTTAGGATCACGGATATGGCCCCATCTAAAACTCAATGACAGCAGACGGAATTACTCACTGGAATATGTGTCATTAGACCACCTAGCAGGCAAGTTACATAGCAGGGACAATGTGTTTGTATGGTGTACGCAAGTTTGGATATTTCTGCTATTCTCTCATGGGCCCTGGTCTACAATGTAATCAGAATCAGAATCAGAAAGACTTTATTTATCCCCAAGGGGCAATTAACAAATGTAAGCATGTCATTGCTACTTTACATATGAGTATTGCTAACTTTATCTCATAACCAGAGTCTCTGGACTTTCTTTGCCTTTTCTTGGGTTTCTATCACTGCACATAAGTGAAATACAGCCCTTCTGCCTAGCAGAAGTAATTTGGCACTTGTTATGTTTGGTTATTGGGTGTTTTTTTGCCGGTGTGTGTGGTTCAAGTACAAAAATTATGTCCAAAAGTTTTCATTTAGGTGTAGCAGTCTTATCAATATGAGAAGAAAAGAGGTGACCAAACCAAATGTAAATGAGAATATGATTCTTATAAGATTTAAAAAAAAAAAATAGTAATAGTAAAACTCCTGTCATGAAACTAAAATATTATAGTTGAGTTTACCAGGAAAGAATATGACCAGTTTCACCAAAATATGACAAGCCAGAAAAAGAAACCAGCAGATTTCTGCGACAAAGTTCTTTGAACTGATTACACAGAACCTGTGTGCCATAAATGGGTGAGTCTACTCCCCTTACACAGAGCAAAACTGAAGACAAAGGATCGCAGGGAAGATACAAAGCTTTTTAGATATGTGTGGATCAAAAAGGTAGTGACTGATTGCAATACATTTTCCTAAGACATTTAACCAGCATTAATTATTTTATGCTTTTACCTGCACTTCTGTCTATTATAACAATCAAAATAAAGCAGAGACTTGGGACAAACTCTTATTTCCTCCTCACTCCTGCACCTCGATTTCCATAGTTTAATATTCTTGCTCTTTTTTTAACTTAAAAAATATTCAATAAAACCAAGAACTCTGTTTTTCCTCTATGATCCCTGAACTTATGGATTATTAGCTTTCATTGAGAAATGCACTTTGCTGCTTAAGTAAAGATGACTCTGCTGCAAACACAGCTGTTTGGGGCTTTCTGCACAGTGAATTGTGGAACTGTTCAATCCAGAGCTTCAAAGCAATGAAAGTTAAAGGGGCCCCCCTATTTATTAATTTCATTGTCTGCAGTGTTGATGCCTCTATTTTATTTTTCCAACTACTACCAGGCTCTGTTTGTGAGGTTATTCTTGGTCAAAGTCTCAGGTATTGTACACAGTGGCCACACTGGCATTTCAGAATCAGAATCAGAAAGGGTTTTATTGCCAAATGTTGAGCAGGTTTACAACATTAGGAAATTGCTGCGGTACTGAGTGCAAACATACTGTCATATAACGCTTAAATAGACATAAAAATAAGAATTAAAAGTGCTAAGTAGATAGTTATATACATGACTGCAGGTGGTGATCAGTGCCAAACATGGAATGATGCAGTGAACACAGTAGGGTCATGTGTTAGTGGTGGGAACAGTCATATGGTTATTGTTCATGAGTCCAACAGCAGAGGGGAAGAAACTGTTCTTTTGGCGAGAGGTTCTGGTGCGAATGGACCGGAGCCTCCTGCCTGAGGGGAGCAGGTCAAACAGACTGTGTCCAGGGTGAGAAGGGTCAGCTGTGATCCGAGCTGCACGCCCCAGTGTCCTGGAGGTGTACAGGTCCTGCAGAGATGGGAGTCTGCAGCCAATCACCTTCTCAGCAGAGCACACAACACGCTGCAGTCTCTGTTTGTCCCTGATAGTGGCTCCAGCGTACCACACGGTGATGGAGGAGGTGAGGATGGACTCGATGATTGCGGTGTAGAATTGCATCATCGTCCGTGTTGGCAGGTTGAATTTCTTCAGCTGCCTCAGGAAGTACATCCTCTGCTGGGCTTTCTTTATGACGGAGGTGATGGTGGGCTCCCACTTCAGGTCCTGGGTGATGGTGGTACCCAGGAAGCAGAATGAGTCCACAGAGGTGATGGGGGTGTCAGTCAGGATGATGGGGGGGAGTGGGGCTGTGTGCTTCCTGAAGTCCACAATAATCTCCACTGTCTTCTGGGCATTCAGCACCAGGTTGTTGTGGCTGCACCAGGACACCAGACATTCAACCTCCCTCCTGTAGGCAGACTCATCCCCGTCCGAGATGAGTCCAATAACAGTGGTGTTTTATGCAAACTTGATTAGCTTGACAGACTGGTGGGTGGAGGTGCAGCAGTTGGTGTACAGAGAGAAGAGCAGAGGAGAAAGAACACAGCCCTGAGGGGAGCCGGTGCTGATGGTCCAGGAGTCCGAGACATTCTTTCCCAGCCTCACATGCTGCTTCCTGTCCGTCAGGAAGTCAGTGATCCACCGGCAGATGGGATCAGGCACATTCATCTGGGAAAGCTTGCCTTGGAGATGGTCTGGAAGGATGGTGTTGAAGGCAGAGCTGAAGTCCACAAACAGGATCCTGGCATAGGTTCCTGGGGAGTCCAGATGCTGCAGGATGAAGTGTAGAGCCATGTTGATAGTGTCATCTACAGACCTGTTGGCTCTGTATGCAAACTGCAGGGGATCCAGGAGGGGGGCCGTGAGGGTCTTGAGGTAGGAGAGAACCAGGCGCTCAAATGACTTCATGACCACAGATGTCAGAGCCACGGGTCTGTAGTCATTTAGTTCAGTGATCCTTGGTTTCTTGGGGACAGGGATCATGGTAGAGGACTTGAAGCAGGCAGGCATTTGTAGGAGAATATCAGCTTATTTGAGTGTTTGTGTTGTTAAGCTATATACATTCCTGCTACCATTATAGGGTAGAAAAGCAGAAGAAAATGAAATACTCTGTGGAATGAGTCACTGTTAGCACTGTCAACCATTACAACAGCCAGGAATTAATTCAGGGAAGACATCACATTTTTAGTTGCCAGAGATTTACATACAGTGAGGGAAATAATTATTTGTTGCCCCTGCTGAATTTGGAAGTTTTCTCACTTACAAAGAAATAAATCATCTCATTTTAATGGAGAGAGACAAAACATCAACCCAAAATCTCAAAGCTATAAATTGATTTGCATGTCAATACGTGAAATAAGTATTTGATCCCCTACAACCCAAACAGAATTCTAGCTCCCACAGATTAGTGATTGCAGTCAGTTAATCAATTACAGATATTCCTGATCTCAATTTGTTATGTGTATAAAGCACACCTGTCTAGAGAATCAATTTCTTCTTTTCCACCCTCTCCTACACCATGGGCAAGACCAAAGAGCTGTCATCAGAGGACACCAGGAACAAAATCGTAGACCTGCACAAAGCTGTCTGTCGCCCTTGATCTGGAGCTCCTACAAAAGATCTTGGCTCATGGATGAAAATGATCATGAGAAAGTTGGCGAATCACCCCAAAACTACACGGGAGAGCTTGTTAATGATCTGAACCGGAGAATGAACCGGTTTTGATTTGTGTTTGAGATCATTGTCCTGGCAGAACACCAAACTGTGTCCAACTTTCAGCTGTCTAACTGCTGATTTGAGGTGATGTTGAAGAACTGGGGTAGAGTAGAAAATAGTCAGTCATTAAAAGTTTACAAATAATTACAGTAACTTACAGGTTTAGAGAAATATCCAGTGTCCAAAAACTGTAGGCAGAGAAGAGAGTGGAGCCATGCGTGACGTTTTGCATATTTAAGTTTTTAGAGCAACTGAAGTAACAGCAGCAATTATGTGACAACAGTGGGCTGCAATGAAGAACTAAAACCAGAAGGAGGCAGTAATGAAACTTACAAGGATGGCAATTTAATGAAACTAGACGAAGAAGAAGAAGCGCAAGCCCCAGTAGAGCAAGCCTTCCCCCTGCTGGAGGAGTCGCGTGACGCCTGCAGATTATCTAAGAGCTCGCGCACAGGGACATATACAGTCCGCCATGAGTGCTGCTATGAATTTTAAAAAATGCGGCTCTGTGCTGATTACTGGAGCCAGCCGGGGCCTCGGGCTGCAGTTAGTGGACAGTCTGGCAAGTGGACAGTTTTCACCTGGAAAGATAATAGCCACGTGCAGAAACCCTGGTAACGCACAGGTAAACACCAACACGAAACTCGGTGTGCGCATTGATGACGTAGCAATAATGGAATAAAGCTGATGGACCACTCCAAAGACAGCTATTTGGATAATACAAGTGTGTATGTTAACTCCCGAGAATAGTCAAACAGCGATTCTTCGTTTTTCAGTGAATGTCGCTTTGGTCGCATTTAAGTAATCCGTCGGCGCATGCGTATTTGACTCATCTGTGCAGACGCGTGAATATAACACGTTGAAACGGAATAATTCCCCCCCTTCGTTAAAAAAAAATAGAAATAGAAAAATATCTTCCAAAAAGTATGAATTGGTTAAAAAAAAAAAACGCTAAAAATGAACATTTCGTATAAGTTTTACAACTTATTCATAAAGTAAAAGAAGAGGTTAGGTATTTATTGAACAAGATGTCATATTTTAGTAAAACTATAAGAAAAAAGTGATGTACACTATATTGATCTTTTCTTTAAAAACCCACAATTTAAATTAAAATATGTTCTTAATAAAGATGTGTTAAATTTAAGATTATTTCAAACATTGTCATGTGTAGGATAAAGGCTAAATAAAGATTTGTTTCCGCCAGCGCTGATCCATGTTTAAAGTGTTTGAGTAAAAGATCATCCTAGAAGTTTCCATACACCTATCATGGGCGTGAATGTCATGGTAATTTTGACCCCAAAATGGTCATGGCTGATGGCTCCCTGTCTTCCTGTTAAAAGTCTGCTTTTCCTTCCCACTGTTGCTAAGTGCACGCCCAAAAGGCATCTTCTGATTGTTGGGGTTTTGTTTATTTTATTGTAGGGTCCTTACCACGTGAATTAAATTCTATTTTATTTTTAGCTAAATTTTTAGAGTTTGTTAATATAAAACAATCTCAGTATACATGGGTAACATAATCGGAAATTACAGTGGCCTGTATGTTATAGTGGAATCTGTGCGTGAGAGAGAGCTAGTCTGGTTGGGATCTCGCATTGTGTTACTTGTCATTATGCTTTTGTATCGTTATCCTATCAGCAGCCTTTGTGTCTTTATGCAGCATTAAAAATACAGCAACATTTCTTTTAGGTGACATGTTCAAACAACACTCCACTGACAAGGCAAACATGTTGACATTCAAGTAAGGAAAAAAAGTACACTGGCCAGTTATTCTCCTCCTTTGAGCAAACACTGATGGTCACCAGAGGGCTGTACTGTGAAGCAGGATTTATAATTTAGCAAGTCATGTTGAGTCTGAATTTTAAATGTCACAAAGGTGGTGGTTTGAAATTGATACATTTTCACTTTTCTTGACAATATGCTCTGAGTGTGATTATGGATTTTCTGAGGAAGAAATGCAATTTGCATAAACAACCTGTGTATTTGTCACATTGCTGTAAGTGCCGCTAATAATTGGAAATTGGTCTTTTGCATCAGAAAATATGCACAGCCGGTAAGGTTTTCTTGAGGCAGCTAACACAAACAGACCCTGGCTATCGTGAGCTTGGTTTGTAGTACGCCCCTCAGTTAACATAGAAATGTTAACCAGTGTGTGAATGTGTGTGTGAATGGGTGGATGACTGGTTGTGTGAAGCGCTTTGGGGTTCTTAGGGACTAGTAAAGCGCTATACAAATACAGGCCATTTACCATTTTATTTATTTAGAAATAAACAGGATCCACACATGCATCAACACTACAATGAGCGGGTGGAGGGAGGTTTGGAGTCTTCTCTCACCCCCGTTCTCTGCGGCCTGCTGGAGTGGGGGGCTAGGAGGAGGAGTTGGCCGTCTGGAATGTGGGGCCTCCCTGCTGCTGCGGAGTCGGGGCGGTCTGCTTCTCCCCACCGCAGAAGGGTAACACCACCTGGGTCTGGGTGCAGTTCCCCCCTCCAGGGGCAAGGGTACCTAGACCCGGTTTGTAGAGTATGCTTGGGGAGTGTGATCGTGTGTACAGCGTCTCTTTATGTCTGTCTCCACGTTGGTTGAGTGTGGAGTAAGTGCATATGAGAGCATGAGGGTGGGAATGGATGTTTGTATTGTGTGTGCCTGTATGTCTGTGTCTATATGTCAGGTTGGGTGATCAGGCGCCACCG